AACCAACTACTCAGAGGTTTTTGGAATTCATCAACATAAATAGCTGAGTTCTAGAGCCCGGTTTTATGTTAACTACGAGAAAAAAAACACTCCGCCATGCCACCGATGGCTTATAAAAAAAAACAATTTCGACGCCAACCAACGAATTAACTTGTTTGGTCACAGAGCTCTTTGTGACAACTATCGGAAGGCTATGCTAGCAGCTCCGCGGTTGGAGCCCAGTAGACTATAGATCCATTGGAAAATTGATGACAAATAAAACATTGAATTTACTTGATGTACACCAGTCTAACAAAAAAAACAATGTGATGCGAACCAACGAATTGACTAGTTTTGTTGCAGACCTCTGTATATCACAGAGGGCTGTGCTAGCATCTCCATGGAGTAGCTATGCAGAGCTCAATGTAGTTATTGAGTTTGTGACGCGAACCAACGAATTGATTTGTTTGTACCAGAAGCTCCCTCCACAGAGGTCTCAAATACTAATTACTCTGACGCCTACCTCGGAATTGACTTGTTATGTACGCAGACGCTGCTCGTGTGTGGCGGAAAGCTGTGTGTGTGGTCAAATATGAATAAACGGCACTTTATTTTTGTACGGAGGCTTACGTGTCTCTTGTTTTTGAGCACCAGTGATCTTTTTTTTTCTTCAAAACAACCCAAGTCAAAAACGACAATATTCTCAGAAGGGTTTGACCGTAAACTAGGACTGAAAAAAGAAGAACCTCCTTGGTGGAACAAAATGTATATAGACTTGTAAAAATGCATCCAACTCAAATTATGAAATTGAAACTGAACTGTGACGCCAACCAACGAATTGACTTGTTATGGCGCAGAGCTCTCCGTGTTGTCGTGCGCAGAGTTGCGTGACGAAGTCTTTATTTGTGACACAGTACTGGCTGTATATCGCCTACTACTCACAGAGCTCTATACAAAACTGAACCCGTGACGCCAACCAACGAATTGAGTTGTTAGGGCGCAGAGCTCTCCGTGTTGCGCAGAGTTGCGTGACGAAGTCTTTATTTGTGACACAGTACTGGCTGTATATCGCCTACTACCCACAGAGCTCTATACAAAACTGAACCCGTGACGCCAACCAACGAATTGAGTTGTTAGGGCGCAGAGCTCTCCGTGTTGCGCAGAGTTGCGTGACGAAGTCTTTATTTGTGACACAGTACTGGCTGTATCGCCTACTACTCACATTGAATTCACTTGATATCTACAGAGCTCTATACAAAACTGAACCGTGAGGCCAACCAACGAATTGACTTGTTAGGGCGCAGAGCTCTCCGTGTTGCGCAGAGTTGCGTGACGAAGTCTTTATTTTTGACACAGTACTGGCTGTATATCGCCTACTACTCACAGAGCTCTATAGAAAACTACAGAGCTCTATACAAAACAGAACCCGTGACGCCAACCAAAGAATTGACTTGTTAGGGCGCAGAGCTCTGCGGGGGTATCGCGGAGGGCTGCACGAGCAACCTCCATGGAGGAGCTCTGCAGAGCTGAGGGCTGAACGAGCAACCTCCATGGAGGAGCTCTGCAGAGCTCCTCCATGGAGCTAGCTCGTGCAGCCCCTATTGTGGTAACCCTGCCCTGCCAGGCCCTACTTTTTTTCCTATATGCCCTGTGTCGTGTACAAGTAATCTATTGCAATGCCTCGAAATATTTTTGATACAATAAATACTTCTGCATCGACTATACTGTGATGTGTCAGTACAATAGCAAAATATGAATTATCGGATACATATAGAATACAACACGGGGTATTCCGTATCGCCCGAGGTATCGGCCCGACCGCGAGTCGGATCGCCCGCAGGCCGGAGGGCGATCCGACTCGCGGGAGGGCCGGGACCGAGGGCGATGCGGAATACACCGTGTTGTATTTTATTTATATCATACCCACCCAAGAAAACGTGCCTTTCAATGCAAGATGAGCCAAGAGTTGGTGCCCCTAAACCCTCAAATGCAACAACATCAGTTCCAACGTCCGGATTCTGTATTCGAATTTTCGAAAGGGGCGCACGCGGTTAGGACGAAACGCGTTCGAATCGTTTTATGGAAGCCATGGAAGCGTTCGATAACGGGTTCCGGACCGGGTACGT